CCTGGAGGGGACCCCGCAACGATCTGAGCAACGCGTGGACATTTGACAGGCCAGGCCCCTCCCTCTGGCGCTCCCTTTCCCCAAGGGATGATCAGCATGAGGGGAGCACGGGCCCCGGGGCAGTGATCGGGCCGCACACTGCTCAGTGACCTTCTGAGGCGTGATTGGACCATTATGACAAGCAGCAGGAGCTGTCGGGCCCACTTCGGCAATTCGCGGCCACACAAGCTGTCGCGTCGGGCGACCAATGAAGCTCAAGCTGAGCGCATTGCCCGATACCGCCCGGCAATTCTGCCATCGACATCACCTCCGTCCACCACCTTTGCGCGCGTCTATGCCATGGTCTCCAAACACCTGGCTGGGCCAAAAGCTTAATTCCTCGCCATCTTATAAGGCTCAAAAATGGGCTGACGTTTTTGTGTGCATTTATTTTTCTTGTATAGCATCTTGTTGCACTGAGATACCCTACCTGCTGCTATCTGTGAAGGAAGGCTCCCGCCAACCCGTGGACCTGCCTGTTTGACGCGACCCGACTTGCGCCGCCGGAGCTGCCCCTCCCTCCTGCCTTACCTGAGCTAAAGCAGCTCCTTCCTTGTAAGTTGCGACGGGTTGTCTTGCTTCTGTCAGGCTTTGTAGATGTAGTCCACCTCCATCCGTCCGGCTTCATCTCTCCATGGATACTCATTTGACATTGAGCCACACCCTTTTATCACCTTCTGCACCCATAGATCTACTGTCGGCGTTGTATTCCGAGACTAACGTCAAGATGCCGAGAAAGATTAAAGGAAAGGCACCGCAAAAGCCGCTTTCAAGCGCACGCCAGTCGAGCCTGAGCACTAGGAAAACGGAGCCCCCAACCGCCGACGCCGAACCATCCCAAGTCGAGGCGAAAATAACCCAGGCGGAGGTGAAGCCAACACGGGCCAAGGCAAAAACGACCAAGGACAAGACGAAAGTATCTACGGGCGAGGCCTTTCCTCAGAAACCCGGTTAGAAGAAGGGTATCGCGAAGGATAAGCGACCTGGCCCGGCCTCTTCTCTCCAGGCCAAGATGTCGCAAAGAAACCGTAGTGGCCGTGGCTCGAACCGCAACAATGGCAGCGGCCACGGCGAAGAAATTCAGCTTTGGAATGACGCCAAGGACAAGTTTCAAGAGATTGTCACCGGTGTCAACCAGGAGAACGACAACCTAGCTGAGCTGATCAAGCTGGATAAGAAGGCGGCCAGTGCGAGCAAGGACGGCGGAAACCCCTCGGGCAACGATCTTAACAAGATGGAGCAGTTCTGTCGGTCCGGAGTTAAGCTCTCGGAAAACAACTCAAACAACATCAAGACCCTGGTCGAGCAGCTTAAGATTCTGAAGGCTGTGCAGCAGGCCAAGGAGCTTGCGGAGGCACCTGCAACGACTACGTCGTCATCTCGGACAGGCAGCTCAACACGGAACAGAGATGCTGCGGCCGCGGCGCTCTACGACTTTGACGGTGCTGGAGACTCGCCAGTACCCAGCCCCATTGGTGGCAGCTCACGCAAGTTTGGTGATCGGGGTAGCAACCGCGACAGTATGCCACCTAAGGCAGATAGTGTCGAGCCACAAGGTTCGACCGGCAGCAATACGGCGGGCTCGTCCTCGGGGGCCCTCGGATCAAATGCCGCGGCGGCTAGAAGCAAAATCTCGTTCTCGAAAGGAGACAAGGTAGCTTTCAAGCGCAAGAAGGACGAGCCTCAACAGGGTGAGGCGCCGTACGACTGGATATTGGGCGAGGTGGTTGGCATCATCGGCGAGGGCAAGAGCAGACGATACAAGTGCTTGGACGTGGAGCCGGAGGACAACGTCAAGCCGAAGGAGTACAAGACATTTGCGTCGGGCATGATACCGATCCCGCCAGAGAACCAGACGCACAACCTCGCCAAGCTAGAGGCAGGCAAAATGGTCCTTGGCTTGTATCCGCAGACGACAGCATTTTACGCGGCGGATGTCGTCGGTACAGAGGCCGACGGAAAGACGGTCAACCTCAAGTTTCATGGCGAAAACGATTCATCGACTACGCATCAGGTGGAGAGGCGCTACGTGCTTGAGTACCGGCCATGAAAGCCAATTGAAGATATGAAGAGTCGCGGGTGCCAAATTAGCGGCGGATATTGAACGAAGTTGGGAAACAAGAGTTACAAGACATTATGGATTTAGTTTAGCGAAAGCCGTATGCAGGCGCTGGGTCTTGTTGAGAGGGGCGCATTGGGATTACCGAGATCAAACGAGATCAAATGGACCGGGGCGCTGTCTATGCGACTGATGGCTCACTAAACGAACAAACACTGGAGAGTCATGACGTAGCGGGTCCGAACGGAGTTTAAAGACCAGTTCTCAAGACAGGGTTGGCATAAAATAGGTAGCTGACAATGTCTATCCACAAGATATGATAAAGCGAGTCTACAGAACTCCCAGAGAGCCCTCAGTTCCGCCGCAGCATTAACACAGTCCAAGTAGTCTGCTACTATGGCCTCAGATAGTCCGACACCTCACCTCCTTGAGCGTAAGCGTTTGCAACATTGACGCGGTGCGCCTTTTCTCCTTGAAGAAAGAACTCTCGAATCTCCTCGGGGCTCATTTCCGGCCTGAGATTCTTTAAATTGTCCTGGATACGTCTCATTCCCTCTCTCGCCCTCGCGCGGATGGCGTCAATATCAATCCCCACCAAGGCACCATCTCGTTTTAGAATCCGTCCGTCTACCATGACAAGATCAACATCTGCCGGGCTCGAGTGCAGAACAGCCGTGCCTAGCGGGAAAGCCGAGCCACTCAGTGCTCGTTTGCTCGTGATGACGACGATGTCGGCCCGTTTCCCCGGGGTGAGAGTGCCAATCTGGTCGCCGAGACCAACGGCCTCGGCGCCGTTCCTCGTTCCCCATATCAGAGCGTCCCGGACGCCGAAGTCCATCTTCATGGAAACGCGGTGTTCGAGGTGAGCCGCATGATGATCCAGACTGCGCTGTAGCTGCAGCTGAAGCCGCATCTGCGAGAGCAGATCTGGCGCCGCGGCGCTTGACGTGTCGATGCTGAGAGACGGCTTCAGACCGTGAGCCAGGGCCATCCTCAGCGGGGGAAACCCCATTCCCATCTGGATGTCGGTCTCGGTAGCAAGGGCGATTTTGCCTCCCGTCTTCGCGACGAGGCTCATCTCGTGGTCTGTCAGGCTCGTGCAGTGAATATACACATGCCCAGGCAGCATGTATCCCATATCTGCGCGGACTTCCAAGTCACTCGTGAGGTTGGAGGCAGGAACGGCGCTGGAGTGGGAGCAGCAGAGAAGTTTTAGTTCCTCGGCGAGCTTGAGTTCATCGCCCATCCAAGAAAATGGAGTCGTCCCCGACTGGCTCAGCTGCAATGCTACGCGTACAAGCCCGTCGTTCGCGCCTTTCTGCGCCATCTTCTTGACGTGGGCCAAACGAGCGCTCCAACCGCTCCGTCCCGCCGGAGTCTGGCCATACTGGTCTCCGCTCATGCCATAGCAGAAGAACGCCCGGATCCCAGAGTCCTGCAGCCCGCGCAGCTCAGCCTCCGCGTGTTCGGCCGAGTGGAACGACTCGCAGGTGTCCATGATGGTCGTGACCCCGCTCTCGATTGCCTCGAGGCAGCCGACCAGGGCGGACGTGTACATCTCGTCGACCCCGGTGGCCGGAAGCCAGCGGGTGTAGGTGTTGGACAGGAAGTGCCAGAGGTGCTGGTCGACGCCGATCCCACGCGTCAGGCTCATGGACACGTGGCGGTGGGTGTCGACCATGCCGGGGATGACGACGCCCTCGGAGGCGTCGATGATCTCGGCGTCTGCTGGCGCGGAGATGTCTTGCGCCCTGCCGACGGCTGTGATGATGCCATCTTCGACCAGGACAGCGCCGTTGTCGAAGTCGCCGAGGGAGTCGTCTAGCGTGACCACGTAGCCGCCGGTGATGAGGAACTTTTCAGACATGATGAAGGGAAAGGAGTTTGTCGATGTTGGGTTACGCACAGTTGAGATGAGGAAGAATTGTTCAGGCGAGAGGACGAGATGTTTTGCCAGATTCGGTGAATTGGACCATTTAACCCACGGAGGCTTATATTTCATTGCCTTTGTAGGCAAGAGTAAGCATGATTTTATTACATCCTCAGTGGGAACGCCTCTTTGGAACAGGTTCTGCTTGAACTCGCTCTTCGCGCTTCCGTCAACGCGAACGGAAAGTCGGCCATTACCAGTGGCATTTTCCCCGAAAACACCGAGGCCGTTGATTCATATTCAAATGAATCATTCTCGACCAGAATTGCGGGGTCTCCATGCATGGTTTACAACTTGCCAAGTCATGTTGTCGAGGATCCATCACGATAGTTTCACTCGAGTGACCGGCGCTGTAAGTCATGTGGTGTTAGCGCGCAAATAGGCCAAACCATCGCAAAAGATGTTCCAGATCCCTGTAAAGATGCAACTTTATGGGGATTGATACAATATAAAAGAACAAAAACTCCGATAGCTTTAGATTTTGCATGGGAATTCACTGGCTTGGTTCGTTTGATTGGCATTTACTGAGGTCTAACAGGCGATACTGGCCATTTTGTCACTCGAGTGACCTTCGATTGCTTAGTGGAGGCCATTGCTGCGGGCCTGTGGGTGAAAATGGCCCATAACTATGTCAAACTACTGGGATCCCTATGCAGGCGCAGCGCTCGTTTGTGGTTCAAGGATTGAATGGTCTCTCTCTGAGATGTAGATGCGGGCAGACTCTAGGCGTGGTGGATGGCTGTCAACCCGTCAATTCGTTTTTGAAGCCGTAAATATACCGTAATTCGATTGATCCCTGTCTTTAACATCACTCAATGTCATGACGATCGTCTCAAAGAGAAGAGTTGAGTCTCAATTGCAGGTGTTAACAACAGAACAACAAAAGCCAACCAGTCTAGGATATGAATACACAGCTTCTCGAAGCTCTAGTTCTACAATTGCCACATGGGTATAGGCACCCCCGACTGAACTTTAGTTTTCAGCCCCTGAAACATTTATAGAGCATTTGGCCGGTTTGGTCATGAGACTGTCCATCGCATCAAACGTTTGCAGACTCTCGGGAACTTGGCAGATCTCCAGGTTGCATATCGTTAGAACCACAGGGATTCTAAACTCGATGTACGCCAACCGCCGCCCAAAGCATCCCCGCACGCCGTTGCTAAAGCTCATAAAAGGTCCAGCCTGGGGGTCAAATTCGTCGCCATCCGGTCCTGGCTTAAGCCATCGCTCAGGTATGAACGATTCCGGGCTGACCTCCCACGAGCCACGAACATTCGGCCGAGATCTGGAAGTCTCGCTTCGCAATGATTCGTCAACTTCTATGGGTGCTTGGGTGATGCCGGGACCACACAACGGCATGAAAACCTCGGTTCCTTTAGGTACTCGATGACCCAGGATCGTGGTTTCTACTTGTGCCTGCCTCACAACACCCATGATTGGGCCGGATAACCGCAAAGACTCTTCCATGACTGCTTCCAGGTACGGCACGTCGACTTTTGTTATTTCGGAAACCGAAGGCTGTCTTGATTGGGCCACAGACTCGGCAAATGCCAATTGCAAAGCTCGTCGAAGCTTCTGCTGGACATCTTGGTGAACCGTAAGATGCTTAATTGCCCATTGGAAAGAAGTTGAGGTTGTCTCGTGGCCTGCACCAATGTAGCCGTACAGCTCGTCACGGAGTTGAGAAGAGTCGAAAGTGGGTAATCGGCCGGCCTTCTTGGCAGCGTTCATTTCGCGCTGAATCATGTAGTCCAAAGCAGACCGGACCGGCTGGCCTTCTTCAAGCCGTTGAACAGCCAGAGAGACCTGATTTTCCAACATCCGGTGTCTGATGGCGTATGCCTCTTTCATCTGGCGTCGACGGTTGTTGATCGCATGGTACAGCCAAGGAGAGGGTGCCGTCAGAGATACCCCGACAGCCTCCTGGTGAGCGTGGTGCGAAACGAGGTCTTCGTCAGGGGGTTGCTCGGGGAATTCGACTTCTCCGCTTGTATTTGGCTTTGCAGCAGCCGTTTCGTGGATGATCTTGATGTAAGCTTCGGTTGTGTTCTCGGAGTCTCCCTCGCCAAGGGCAACTTCTTTGATGATATCGAAAGTGGCCATGTTGATGTCTTTGTCAGCTTGAAAGGGCAGACCACTGGCTTTTTTTGCTTTAAACTTCCACAGCTCGACAAGATTCAAAGTGTTGGAGTACATTGCTTGAGCAGATACCTTTAGAATGTCTAGTTAGCGTTGGGAAAGGTCCCTCTCATTTCCCAGACTTCACTTACGGTATTGAGAAAATTGGGGGTCATGAGATCCTTCACCAACTCCCGATTTGCTTTGAACTGGGGATCCCGAGTTCTCATCCCAATGTGATGGTTTCCGAGAACCCCACGAAACGCAGCGAGGTTCCGCTCGCCATGATCGAATTCCTTGTTTCTTCGGAGAAGGATATCTTGAGCCTCGCGGAAGTCTGACAATAGAAGCATCGGCTGTGAAAGCGGAGCTACGAAAGCTTGAACAAGAGGGCTTTTATGTTTCGTGTTCTGCTGAAGAAACCAAGCACGCGGTCTCTTGCCCTGCTCCTGTAATCTTTGCAATTCTGCCGCATCGCCAAGTATGGATTTTGCTGCGTCTTTATTGAACGGTATGCCTCGAAGAGGTTTCGGCAGACCGTAGAGCCCATCGATAAATGAGAAACAGAAGAGATACAACGCCTACGACGCCCGCGGTCAAGGCGCCCGTGGTCTCTGCGAAAGTGCAAGCCATAGTACGAAAGAGATGTAACACGGTAAGAACTGTGATGTGATCATTGTGCTTTGCAATTGCAGTTGCAATCCTTGAATATTTGACTTTGACACCCGGCCTATGAGTCGGCGGGAATTTTCTCGCTTGACTCCCTTTGGGAGTCACTGACTTCCGGCGAAGGCCGGCGACGGCCGGCAAAGCCGATGTCCGTCTCCCTAGCTTTTCTCTCCAAGCCAACAGACTTTTGAACATTGACCATCATCCTGCCCGTACAGTGCGTGGGTTTTGTCCGAGCCGCCGTAGTGAGCTATGCAAATGCCGGGGCATCTAAGTGGGGTATAGAAAACAAGGATTCAGATGTGCACAGGAGACAACCCGAGAATTCTTCTTCGCTTGACAGAATGCGATGGCCGAGACTGATGGGAAACTAGGATCTGTCGGGCGGTCTCAATGTCCGTCCCTTACATCCCTGCCAGAGAGAGTGTGATGATGGTTAATTAGACTTAGGACCAAACTCCCTAACGGGCCAACCTATAGCAGGTTTGTTCTCGTCGGTTACACAGACAGCTACAGTTACCCTGTACATAAGCGAGACTGATGCGAATGCCTGACTGACTCAAATCAGCCGACATAGCTAAGAGATGCCTACTACTTGCCAACGCATGTCTCCATGGTTGATGTAACATGGGGCGTATCCGATCTAAAAGCAGAGTAGACACTATATTTCGTCCTTCCAATGACATCAGAGACGAAAGAAAGCATGACAGAGTTTTGCACGTGGGTTTGTGTGCCAAGACAGTTCACTGTACGTGTAGTCTTCGACGAACCACTGTAGGTGGGTGTGGCACACTACTTGGCCAAGAGTCAGTTACAAGCCCGCCAAAGGACGAGGGTGCCTACACGTACACTACACTGACTGCGAAACTTAGGCATGTTTCCATACAGTCGGTATCATTCTTACCCTCCCAAGGAGGCTTTCCAACAGGTCATCAGAAGTATGTATTGCGAGAGGGGATGTGTCTAGCCGAAATATACAATCTATCAAAGATCTCCATCGCTCAGGCTCGCCATAACTGTCTCGCGCCAGTAGGAGGTGGCGGCCAGTCCCGCCCCTGGTCCCAAGCAAACAGAACCAGTGGCCGACACCAACGCAGCAAGCACTGCCTTCTTCGTTGTGATGAACCCCTCGGATCTCATCGTCCAGATGTTGTACCAAGAAAGGGCTACAGAGGCTAAGCCGAAGAGATCAAAATGTCTGGCCAAAGATCCCGCAGAATTTTCCACAGGACCCGCAGCGTCCAATCTTGAATAAGCCATGCCAGCAACGCGGACCGCACCGCATAATCCTGCGGCACAAGCGTACGTAAACTTCAGCGCAGGTACATCCTGCTGCTGGTACATCGCTACGAAATCCTCTCTTTCATTGTACGACGGCTCCTTCGTGGCATTTGCAGGCTTTTCCTTTCCTGCAAGCTTTTGAAAAACTGCAGACAAGCATTCTGTGAGAAGCGAACACACAACAGGCGAAAACGCTACAAGTGCTTCAGCTGCTTGGCGGATATGAACGTTTTGAACCGGCAAAGCTGCAATGACGGCAGGCACCAGCAAGCCTGTGACAACCGAGGGCAGGATTGACTTAGCATATCTTGGGGGAACATGTCTTCCGTAAAGAGTACTGGACCCTTGAAGAACCATGCCTAAGCCCAACAGAGGAGTCACGGCGTCCGGACCAAAAGTTGTGGACGCGAGACCACCTACCGTCGGCCTGTACAGGATGTCAGACAGGGTCCCAGGGTGTTGAGTTACTTTACGTACCAGAGGAGAACAGAAAGCCTATTGCCCACGCGGTGCCCTTCAACGAGCCCTAGAGTGAGAGTGGAGAACAGACCATCAACACCGAGGTGGGGGCTATGGAACGGGCTTCGTCTCGAGGCGTCGTAAGGCGAGAGTCTTGCAGACGAACCGGCGGCAACAGAAGCCAAGAACAGCTTAGTCTGCGTCTGCATAACACTCCTGAACGTGGAGAAGTAGGCCAGTCCACCAGAGTGGTAAAGCAGTGCCGCAAAAGACCCTACAGAGAGGATTGTTGCCAATCTCAACACGGCCCTCTCTGTTATGGGCTTTGCGGGGAGTTCATCGTCAAAAGGAACAAGCCGACCTCGCTTAGGCATTGCAAGGTTCTCGACTCGAGGGCCGGCTTTGAAGATTGGGAGCGCAACATTGAGGAACCCGTCCTCTTTCAGAATAGGAACCAGGTACTGCGTTACGATTTTGGAGAAGGGCGATCTGCCCGTCAAGATCTGCTGGAGGTTGTGGCCTTCGGAGACCAGCTTCTTCGCTCGGTGGTAACGGATTGCGTGAACTCGGGCGACGGCACCCTCCACCAGATCAGTGGAAAGCTGTTCAACGTCCGGATACTTCTCGAGCAATTCGGCAATGGCGTTTCCAAGGAGCGCGGCCGCTTCTATGGCGCCGTTGCCTCCCTGGCCGGAAACCGGGTCGATCTAGAATCACGTTCGTGGTTAGTTTCTTTGCGCCGCAAGGTTGACTCCGAAGTCTGAGACGAACCTTGTGACTCGCGTCTCCGATGCATACGACGCGCTTGTAGTGCCATTTCTCGAATACATACTCCTCTAGAGGCACTAATGTGGCCATGATTTTGTTCTTGTAAATGTCGCCGAACGTCACCTCGTCGTACAATCGATCCGACATATGTGCCAGAGTCAGTTTCTCTGTGTCCTGCTTCGAATATCTGGGGATGTCTTTGCCGCGCTTGGTCTCGCCGACACCTTCGAAGAGAAACCAGTACGTGCGATTGCCCGGCGCGTCGACGATGAGATAACTCCAGCCGTCATTGTAAGCAGTGATTTGACGGCCTGCAGGCAGGTTTGCAGGTCGTTTGGATATGCCGAAAATGCATCTCGTATCAACGGGCACTCCTGAAAAGAAGCAGAAGGGGCTTGTTAGTGTTGTGCCTACGTTGCAAAAAGACCATGTTCTTGGATGGTAGGTATTCTCTTTTTCCGGTGCGACAGGAAACCTGATACACTTACTTGACTGCTCGTTGTGCGGGAAATACCCAGGAGTTTCTTTGATACCAATACGCCACATCTCGCTTCTGACAGTGCTATGTATGCCGTCTGCACCGACAACTATGTCGCCCTCATAGATTGAGCCGTCAGTGGTATAGACAGTGACGCCCTTGTCGGATATGTCGATCTTGTTGACCCTCTTGGATGGGTTCACTTTGCTTTTCTGCTTGAGGTTGTCATAAAGAACTTGTAGGAGCATCTGTCTGTCGATGAAGATTGAGGGATACCCAGTCCTTTTCTGGCGTAAGCAAAACGGCCAAGGTAACCACTACTCTGGATTTTCTTGCTGGCGCGGGCAGCGTACCGGGCTTCCAGATGATGAGTTACGCCGCTGCTAGGCGTGGTAGTGGCGTTTTACTCCCCCGTTCAGGTGCAATCACCTCATACAGCTACTCACCTTGAAGTTGCTGCTTTTAAGCGGTAAAGTGATGCCTGACATCAATTTTGGGCTGAGCAAGGTGAGCAACGGGTGAGCAGGGACGAAGCGGCGAAGTTGTGTTGGTGCAATTACTAGCGCCTAACAGCCAACAGAGCATCCTAAGAGCGGATCATAATAGGTGGAGGACGAAGAACGAGGAAACGTAAACAGAAAGAAAACACGAACGCCCTGAGTCCTAAAAATATTTTCTTGCGTTCTTCTGTTGCCTTAGTTGATTTAGATGATATCACGTCTCTGATGAGTAACATGTAGAAATCCTGGGATCTGCTAGGATATGAGTCTGAATCCTAGGATCTGGTAACCGTAGTGTGTCTGTAATCCTGGGATCTGTCAGGCATGGTGTGCCTGAATCCTGGGATCTGTTAGCTGCAATGTGCTTGGATCCTAGCACCCATTCCCTGTAGTATATCTAAATCCGAGGATTTATTAGCCGACGTGATTCTGTATCCAAGGATCTGTTAGGTGGTGCGAGCACACCGATCCTAGGATCTGTTTAGCTGGCATTACGTAGGTATGGTGTGTCCGAGCCTCTGTAAGGCTGAATCTGACGGAAATTATTTGCTCACTTTTAGCGCCTAACATCAGACCTTGCAGGGCTAGTACCATTAAGGTGGTGTATGCGCCTTTGCACAGCTAATTTAGCGATCACTCAGTGGATTCAAGTTGAGGTCTTGTAGACGCTGAAATAATGTTGAGTTCTTTTTGAGTGGACGTCTGGTATGTGCAACTGTTTATTACGGTCAGCTATCTAATAGTAGGGTCTGCTAATAGAAGCTAGAGATTAATATATAATAACAGTATACTAAGGTTATAGTTATAGGCTTTATAGATTAGTAGTTAGAAGCTAAAGTAATTAGTTTTAGGCTTAATAAGTATTTATAGTAAAAGTAAACTAAAAGTATCTAAAGATGTTTATAAAGTTAATTACTGAAAAACTATAGAAGTTTAACTATAAACTAAGCTTAAGTTATACTATATATAAGTTTAAATAGTATTTTTTATTTAGTTACTATTTCTAATTTTAATAAAGCTTATATATACTAAAGATAGCTTCTATATTCTTAGTATATAGATTTCATCTCTTATTTTATCATTATATAACTTATATTATAGTTCTTTTATTTCTAAGTAAGTTTCTACTATTCTTATAACTCTATAATTTAAATACTTTATTATAGCTACTTAACGCTTAAGTAAGTTATTTAGCTATTAATTTTATAAATAAGTTATAATATTAAGTCTTCTCTCTAAAGGTTTTATCTTTAAAACCTAATATAAGTAGGTTATTAGTTTTAAGTTAGAGATCTATTAATTATGCTTTTTAATTTTACTTATAATACTAATAATATATTAAGTTATATTTAAAAATTAAAACAATTTAAGTTAGCATTTTATTCTATTTATAAAGATGTTTTTTACTACTTTAGTTTTAATGATGTTATACTTTATATATACTACTTTTGTACAAAATATATATGTTAAATAGTAGAAGGTATAAAAACTTATTAAAGATGTTAAAACTTAAAGTATCTTTATAATAGTTTTATAGTAGTATTAAGTTATAAGTCTTTATAGTGTTTAGTAGGTATATATATACTAATTAGTTATAATAATAAAGCTAAATAATTAGTATTAAGAATAAGAAGAGAAAGAAGAATAAGCTAGTAATATACTACTTAGCTTTTATGAAAAGTTAGTATAAGTTTAAGCTAAAGTAGCTAAAGTAGTTAGTTATTTGTTATATATTTATATAATTTAAGAGAAATTAAAAGAGCGTTATATAAAGATATTTTCTTAAAAAATATAAAAGTTAGAAGAGGATGATATTCTTTCTATATTAGATACTTATGAGAATAATATAATAAGAGATCTTTAGTTTTAAAATATTAAGAACAATTTAGATTAAATAAGTTTTAGTATTAGTGAGATGTTTGTAGATCTTAGTTCTTTACTAAGAGACTTATAGCTAGTGTTATCTAAAGGTTTTTAGTTATTTTCTAGTGTTTCTAAGCAAATAAATAGTTTTCTTTGTTACAGTTTATCTACTTCTATTAGTAGTTAAATATACTTATATAGATATTTAATTCATAAGTATTATTAAGCTGAAATCATAAGTAACTCTATTAATAGAGTTACTAAGTATTAATGTTTTTCTTTGCACTTTTAGTACTATTTTTAGTATTTATTAAGTTCTTTCTTAGCGTTTTTTAGATTTAACTAAAGTTTTTATGTGTTGTCTTTATATTTATATTCTTTCTATTTCATAAAGAAGTAGAATTCTTTTTTATTAGATATAATATAGTTAAAGATTTGTTCTACTTTATACTTTAAGTTATTTATTTGTAATCTTTATAGTATTAGTTTAAGTAATAAGATATAGAATTTTAAGACATATTTTATTATATTAGATAGGTTAAGCTTATAGTTAACCAGTAAAACCTTTTAGAGGACTTTAAAAGGTTTAAGTTTTTTGAAGTTTAGTTTGTTATTTAGTTGTTTTATTTTAATGTTTTGCTATATAAAGTAAGCGCTATCTTCTTCTTTTAAGTTTAATCTCTTAATCCTTTGTTTATTACTAAATTTAGTTATTTGTTATTATATAAATTTAAGTTCTTTTTTTATATTGTCTTAGATGTTTTTAATTTGCTTAATTATAATAATAGCTTTAAGTGCTTTTAAGCTAGCTTATAGTTCTCTATAAGTAGTTATCTTAAATCTATAGTTAAAATAGAAAGAGGATTCTTTAGTATTTTTTCTAACTACATTATTATAAGCAAATTAAGCTATTAGTAGTAGTACTACTTAACTGTTTTAGTTATAGCTAATATAAATATAGAGATAGGTTTTAAAGATCTAATTAATTTATTCTATTTGTTTATTAGTCTGTAAGTGAAATGTAGTAGATATTGCTTATTTAATACTAAGTTATAATATAATTGACTTTTAAAACTTAGAAATAAAGATCTTATCTCTATTTAATATAATTTCTTTAAGTATACTATAGTTAGTAATAATATATTTAAGTATTATATAAGTGAATTCTTTAGTATTACTTAATCTTTTATATAAAATAAAGTAAGTATACTTTATAAGTTTATTAATAATAATAAGAATACTATTATAATAGACTTCTATAAGAGGTTCTTAAAACTTTAATAGCTTAATAATAAAGTTAAATAATATAGAGTACTAAGTAGTTTGTAGTATAAATAAAAGTTATAATAATCTATAAAGTTAGCGTTAAGTTAGTTTACTTTTTAAGTAGATCTTATAATTCTTAATTGCTATTTTGATATATTCTCTAGTGACCTTTTCTTTATATTATTGTTATTATTGTTTTTAAGTCTTTATAATTTCTTAGTAACTATTTGCTAATATGCTATAGAATTCTATAATTACTACATTATTTAGTTTACTAAGTAGGCTAGTATTAGATTATTTAGCTACTATTAAGGTTTTTATAGTAAGTATTAAGTCTTTATTATTATTATGCTTAAGAATTATTTAGGTTTCTTTTAGTATTAAGATATTATAGTTTAGTTATTAGCTGAAAGTGTTAGCTCTACTGTTTTTTAATTCTTTTTAATAAATAATTTAAAAGTTGAATTCTAAGAGAAATTCTAACTATCTAATTTATCTTTTATTAAGTTCTTTTAAAGTAGTGAAGTATATTAAGTTTTTATAATTAGTATATATAAGTACTTAGTAAATAGTTCTTAAAAGTAGAGGTCTCTATTCTTTAAAAGCTTTAACAATAGCTATAAGTTTTTTGTTATAGATCTAATAGTTAAGTTTTAATCTATAGAGTTTATATAAAAAGAAAGTATAAAAATATAGATGTTCTTTTAAGTCTCTTTAGAATAGTTATGCTCTAAAAGTGAAGTCTAAAGTATCTGTTTTAACTTCAAAGTGTTCTTTAAAGTTTAAAATTATTAGAACTAGTTTACTAGTAATATAATCTTTAATTGTTTAAAAAGCTATGCTCTAAGCTTCTTTTTATTTAGATAGTTAATTCTTATAGTTAAGGTTTATAAGAAGTGTGTTAATTTTGCTATAGAGTTTAATGAAATTTTAATAGAAGTTAATAAATCTAAGAAATCTTTAGACTTCTTTAAGGTTTATTAGTATTAGCTATTTTTAAATAGCTTAAATCTTTTTTTTAATATATTGATATATCTAAAAGTAATTATAAATTTGAAATATTCTACTTCTTATATATAGAATATGCCTTTTTTAGTTTAACTAGAAGTTTAATATCTTAAAGAGCTTATAGTATAAAGTATATATATTCTTTATATTATTCTATTATAGTAGAGAAAATAAAGATATTATTTAAATAGATAACTATAAAGATATCTATAAACTTTTTAAGAACTTAGTTAATTATATTCTAAAAAGTACTTAGTATATTAGTAAGACTAAAAAGTATAATGAGGTACTTAAAATATCTTTTATATGTTCTAAAAGTAGTCTTCTATTCTTCTCTTTTTTTATTTAAAGGAGGTTATAAGTACTTTTAAAGTTTAATACTATAAAGTAGTTAGCTCTATAGAGGAGTTATTAGAGTTTGTTAATTAAAAGTAGTAAGTATTAATGTTTAATTATTATTTTATTAAATATTTAGTAGTTAATATATAGTTATAGTTTACTGTTCTTCTTTAGTATAAATAGAATTAAGCTTCTTATTAGTGAGGTTAATTCTCTAATGTAACTTTTTTTGAGGTTGTTATTAAGATATTTATCAAAAGCTTTTATTTCTA